CGGCTTTTTGGAGGGCGCTTGATTCAGCTGCCAGCAGCCCCCGCCATGCTGCTGGGGCTAGGAAGGCCACAGTGAAGACGCAGGGGCCCTGGCAGCAGAGGGGAACGATGCTCAGTGAGTGCTACCTTGAGGACAGGTTGGAGAGAGCTCTGTTCAGGACTTCTGGAGTGTCATCTGATGTCGGGACCGGGGGCGATCCTCCAAATTCAGATTTGCTTTCACTGTCTGATGCTGTCTCTCCATCCAGCTTGTTCTCTGACTCTGACTCCTGCAAGTTAAAGAGAGACAAAGAGCTTTACTAGACACAGTGCTGGCACTCTTTGAAGAAACTCAGACCAGCCCACTGGATGCAACACCTACCACCACTTGCTTCTGCATAAATGAGATAAAGAGGAAAAGAAAATATTCTGGGTATTACATGGGGTTATACCCATAAGAAACAACATCAAGTGTTTCAGGTGACCTGCACGATGGGGTTTACCCATCAGTCTCAGCAGCAGCTACAGAAAAGGATCTGTTCCCTCTGAACAGTTAAAGATGCCTCGCAGTTGATTAATAAGTATCTCCAAGTGCAGCAAGTGCTTAAGGGACACAGGCTTGTTAGCAGGGATTTTTACAAGGTCTCCCAATCCCCAGGCAGGTCTCCAAGTATGCAACATAGCCCAAATTAGACAGAAAGGCAGGCCTCCAAGTAGACAGGCTCAAGGCTTCCAGACAGACTTTTCAAGTGCTGACTTTATATGCGGGCACTAAAAATAACACCAAGCCCATCCTCAAATAGCTGAAGAGGAAGAGCATGGCTTATCGCTCAGGCCCAACCATCCTCTCTGGCCACAGAAGAAACCTGATGTACTGGAAAGAAATACACATGCTTTCCTCACCCCTTGTACTGCTCCAGCACTTAGCTCAGAGCAAAGTCCTGTATTTAGAGGGTAAAAAAATACAGGCAAGGCAGGAGGTTACTGAAGGCTCTGCAACAGGCCAGTGATGGAAAAAGGATTACAAACAACCTCTTGGTCATCCCATGCCCTCTCTCCAGCAGCAGTTTTTCCTCCGATCCATCTCCTGAACAGAGAACGAACCCAAACCTCCACGTTTTGCCCCTCATTTCAGTGGCAGAGCTTCATCCTGCTCCTCAGTCCT